GGTTGAGGATGGTGACGACGTTCTGGCAGACGACATTCTGTATCTCACACTCGGACCACATCGGCATCGGACACACACACGTCGGCACCCACCTGCACAACCATTGCACATCGACATATATATATGTGTGTGTGTGTGCTGGCCTCACCCAGATAGACGAGAGGTGGCGTGAGTTGCGTATGTCCACTGCGTTGTGGTGCGCATGTGGATGACGAGCTCATCACCAGCGCAGCACGACATCTGACACGCGTGATCGGCCTGCAATCGGACACACACAGACAGACAGACAGACATGCACGTCTTTGTGCGTCATGCTTTGGTGACCTTGAAGCTCGCGACGGCTTGTGTCACGACGGGTGTCTGCTTGTTGCATGACTCCAGCCAAAACGCAATCTCACTGGATGGATGGACAGATACACACATACATATGCATCCATCTCAGCCACGTCAGTGTGAGTGTGTGCATCTCATCTGCCGGCTGCCTACACCGAGTCGGGCGGTGCGAAGACCGTGTGTGCCGGATTGCTCATCGGCGCGACCTCCACCTGCAACACACACACACATAAAGGTGTCCGTCGATACATGCGTTGGGGGTGTGTGTGTGGCTTACCGCGGCGAAGCACAACTCGAAGGCCAAGAGGGCGGGTGGGGCCGTGTCGATGTGTGGCGGGCAGTCGGGGGGAGGGAAGCGCACAGACGAGAAGGGCGTGGGTGGGAACGACAGCACATCCTCCGCCTCCTCAGCATCAGCAGCATCGGACGACGAGGCCGACACGCCGTCGAGACTGTCGCTGCTCTCCTCGCACTTCACCACATGGGCCACCGAATCCCTGACACGCACACACACACACACAGAGAGAGAGAGAGAGAGGGGCGTTGGTCAGTGAGGGAGAATGGCTGTCAGCAGGAAAGGTGCCCGCGAGAGGCTGAGCGCGTGTGTGTGAGATGACTTGACTTTCGCGCATAAGGGATCAGCAAGCGTTTGGGCGACGGAAGTGTGTGTGGGTCGCGCGGCTTCCGATGGAGTTGTCGGTAGGGTAGCCACCCTGGGAGAGTGCTTTGTAGAACACATGGGGGTCTCTCCAGCTCACAGATAGGCCTTCATAGATGGGCCACAAACACTCTGCTAGGGCACCTCACAGGATGGCCGATTCGCTGAGAATGGGCAGCATCTTCCTGAAGACAGGCAAACACAGACAGAGAGAGATGTCAGCTGGGGGGCCTTCTGGCTGCTCCTCGCTTCGTGTGTGGCCTCTCTGTGTGAGCGCCTCTCTGGTGCTGTTGTGTTTTCGGAAAGGGCATGGGCCGTTAGCGACCCCTAGCACCACTCAAGCTCGCAACTGTAAACACTCTCTGATTTTGAGAGCTTTTTCCCATTGCAGGGGGGCGGCGAGGCGGCTGATGTGCTCAACTAAACCCTAATTTTGCGCAGGTTTTGTGTGAATTTCGTGAATGCGCGTGTGCAGGAGTACACAGCAGACA